AGTCTATTACTGGACAGTCTATCCCTGAACCAGTGCTGAGGAAGGAGGAATTCAGGTGTCCTTACACTGGTGTTCTTTGAGTAAAAGTGCTTTAGATCACCATTTCAAAACGAGCTTTCCCTCAGTCTCGTGAGAAATGATTTATTTAGTTTCAGCTGCCCAAAGCCAAGAGTTTTGCCTGGCCCCTGATCAGGGCAAGTTCCAGAGATACAAGTTTGCACAAATACCAGCCTTACTGACTGCTGGGGTTCTCATGGGCACTTCTCAACCAGAAACTGCACCTCTTTCAGGCCAAACCCTGCTTCCTTAATGTTTTCGAAGTGTGACGGGTACTTACCCTCAGGTGACATTCCCCGGAGACAATTTGAAATTGCAGTGACTACTGAGGGAACTTTTGACATTAGCAAAATGTTTATTTGATAGCTCCTTTGGAACAAAAAGGGGAAGACAGTCATGAAGAGATTGTCTGGTCTACAGCAGATTATTTTATTTCATTAGAAGACTCCTCTTCCATTTCATTTCTAAACTTCAGGGTTCAATTAACTCTGGCTTTTAAATTTTATGGCTTGACAAAATTGTCATAGACTGTCTCTTTTGTGTGTATATATGTCAAAATGTGTTTTCCTGTGGGTACTGGAAATACTGTGAGGGATACTTTGTAAAGTATATGATTCTCAAATCAGAGAACGTGGCCCTCAATATGACCTGAGGATGCATTCCCACATGGGGACAGGGGTGGGGAGGCAGGGATTTCAAAAGGCATAAGGTGCCGATGATCATCAGTAAAGAGAAGGGCTGCTAGGGAAAGGAGATCATAAACTTACATTCTTCATTTTCCGATTGGTGGGGGCAAATGGAATTTCAATGGTAAGAACAAGGGGTAACATGCAGTTAAGCAGTTCTCAAAGTCCTAGTGCCCATTCAGGCGCACAGGACAATGGCTTTTGGTTGAGCAGTTCCAACACAGGGGGTGTTGCTTATCAGCCGTGCAGTGGGTCCACTGTATCAAGCATACTATCAGCACAGGGAGACTGCTCGCTCTGCAGGTGGTTTTTAAGCCTTGCAAACAACTTCAGAGCTCAAACTGCAAAATTTCACCTGTCGAGCCCCCAAATTATGACACTGTAGTTCCTGTAAATCCTCACACCTGTGTTTCTGAACAAATGGCTATAGATTGGCAGTTCTAATGACCCTCCCCTTGGATTCTATGGATTGGCAAGAGTGGCTCACAGAACTCAAAGAAGCATTTTATTTATTAGGTTGCCAATTTATTATAAAAGGATGTAACTCAGGAACAGACAGATGGAAGAGACCCGTAGGGCAAGGTGTGTGGGAAGGGCTGTAGAGTTTTTATGCTTTCTCCAAATGTGTCTTTTTCCTGGATTCTCCACGTGTTCACCAACTCACAACCTCTTTTAAATTTTTATGGACACTTCACTACGTAGCCACAAAGAATTAACTTATTGGACACGGGCAATTGAATCAAACTGCTGCCCCTCTTAACCTTCCTGGAGGCCAAGGAGTGGGACTAAAAGTTCCATCCCTCTAATCACATGGTTGGTTCTGGCAACCAGCCCCCATCCTCATTTGGGATCCCAAAGTAATCTCTGTAACAATTAGCTCCAAATAATGACAGCTCCCTAACTTTTGTCCCTGTTTCCAACTTAGGGCCAACCAGAGAAAGCCAAATATACGCCACCAACCAATCGCATAAGTCATCCTTCTTGTTAGCCTGTCTGCAGCTTCCGCATGCCAATAGCCTCAGGGCATACCTGAAACCTTCCCCTTTTTCTGCTATCAGTCTTTTCTACTCCTCTACCTGCCTTTTCTCTGCCCAAATTCAGGTGATGGTGGCCGACTCTCTTGCTATAGCAAGCTCTGAATACATAGCTTTTGCCTGTTCTCATGTGGTTGGTCTTCATTTCTTTTCACAAACTCCAATGTATTCGTTTTGTGTCTGGATGATTATGTTGTAAAATTCATCCATATTGTGTATAGATGTCATTAGGAAAGTACACATGGTAGTTGAGATTTTGGAAATTAATTCTTTTAAAAATGCTAATGTAGCCCTTGGTGCACCCTCCAGTTAGATGGTGGCGGTATTAGAGTAAGACTAAAAGGTTGCATTTGACCATGAGCCACTGTCAATAGTTTGGACCTCCTTTTGGACCTAGTAAAGAGTGACTGAAAGTCCATGGACCAAAAACAGTGACGCGATGAGTGCCGTACTTTAGGGAATAAACAGAGAATGGCTGGACTCACCCCATCATTCAACAAACACCCCATTCTGGGTAGCGTGGGTTCAAAGATGAAGAAAATAAAGCTCCTGTCTTCCTGCAGTTTACATTCTCATGGGAAAAGACAGATCAATGGATACAAAAGCCTAACATCAGCAAAAAATTAAAAAACAGGGGTTATTCTGGACAGTGTGGATACAAAGCCCCTGTCTCATGGAATTAGAATCCTAATGAGGAAGACTAGAAATAAATGAATACAAAAGCATAATTTCAGGTAGTGATAAGTTCTATGAAAATGCTAAAGGAGTGTGTGTGAAGGGCAAGGAGTTTACTTATATTTTTAGAAAGGGTGACCCGAGCAAAGAGGACAGGACATTTTAGGAGATCTGGGCCTTGGCCTGAATAAAATGATCCAGTAGGCCATGTGAACATCTAACTATACGAAAAGAATTTCACCAATTAGAACGGCACTGTGAACACCAGAGGCAGTGTAGTTGACGTACTTGAGGAAATCGAGAAAGCTAGCCTGGCTGGAGCAGAGTTAGAAAGTGCAAAAAAAGTTGGAAATGAAGTTGGAAAGGTAGCCAGGTGAGAAGCAATGTAGGCTCTTGAGGGAATGGAAAAAACTTTGCTTTTTATGCTTAAGGGCAGTAAAAATACTTGGCATTGATTTATGTATTAAAAGGATCACTCTGGCTGCTTTACCAAGAATAGAATGTAAGAAGCAAGACTAAGTAGTCTTGGATTAGCACAGTAGAGGGGAATACTGACATTATAAGCAAGGGAAAGAGGATGAAGTAATAATGGCGTTTAATGTCTTTCTAATGAATGCTAGCGTTAGCGTTATAAGATGAGAAGTCATGGCCCTAAAACGCTGGAGTCAGAGTAACTTCAAAACTGAATATGGATGGCTGCACGATTGAAGAGAATGGGGAAAACGGAAGGCAGCTCTGGGGCTCTGAAAATTGGTCGTTAGGAGGATGGTGGTACCATGACTTATAATACAAAATTGAGACCAGTTTGAGAGAGAAAGGAGCTGATGATACATTTTGATTATGGTAAGTATATCTCAATGAATATGTTTAGCTGTTACAGATCATAAATTTACTTTTGTCTTCAAAGAGAGAAAATTTGAGACCACTTTCACAAGTCTCGAGGAAAAAAGCAAGGAGTTATTATTTTGGGATAACTACTAAGGGCAAAAATGCTCACAGAAGAGTGGGGAATTAAAAGCCTGGGAGATAAAGAGATGTATTTGTAAATTCCTTTCGCAAAAGTGGCATTGCATGGGATATAAGAATGACTATGGGATTAGACTGCCAATGTTCAAATTCCTGCATGACTCTTTTCTAGTTACGTGATTTTCAGTTAGATCTTCTGGCCATAATTTATCTGAAAATTGCCATAATAGGACGTATCTGATAGGGCAGTTGTGTAACAGGAGTTGTGAATCTGGAGCTCATGCAATTTCAGAGCACTTGTGAACCTTGAATTGAAAAAAAATTATTCTCTTTTCTATTATCCTATAATGGAAATCTTTTCTTCAATGTTGAAGGCAGGCAGCGAAATAGGGCATTCATGCATATGATTTTGTTTCTAGGAGGAATGACAGACGTTTTCCATGTTATAGTACAATGGTAGTGGATATTTCAAAATACTATCATCACTACTTCAAAACTACCATATATATTACAATTGCTATTAAATATGCTGCTAGATGTGTATGGTTTCGGGATTTATCTACAGCCTTCATGCCACTTAGTAGGTCAAGTTTCTCACAATTGCACTCCTTGATCCATCTTATTCACACAGTGAAGTCTGAATGTTCATACATTGGTTCTCACATCGAGGTTGCCCCCAGCATTTCCCAAATACAAATGTTGGTTGAGCCACGAAGTGGAGGGAGGTGAATTTTAAAATTTTGATAATTGGTATTTAATTATAGTCGGTTCCTTTGTAATCCTATGTATCTAATTTATGCATTTAGAAGTACTATTTTAAGACTGGGTCAACAGGCTTCATCAGATTATCAAATGTGTTCATGATCCAAGTGAAAAAAATCTTGAGATAGAAGAATAAAAGTGTACATACGAAGCACTAGAACAGTACTTGGCCTCTATCAAATAGTCAATCAACAGTCTGTTGCTATTGTTCTCGGAATGTTCAGAGAGCAGGAAGCGAATGAAGTCCTATTCATTTTTGCATTCAAAGCGTTTGGTACAGTGCTTTACACGTTTGGCGCTCCAAGAATGCCGAGTGAATGACCAAAGGAATCAACGAAGCGGTTTGCAGGTTGGCTGGCTCCTCAACCAGAGCTACAAGGAACATCTGTGAAGTCTTGGGCGGTGACTAAGCCCACAGGTTCTCCGGATTATGTTAGAGGGCTTCAGAGGGCTGGGTGTGTGAGCTACAGCTGTGTCCCTAAAAATACACCAATGAGCATGGAGATTGCCATTGGCTAGAGTGGCCAGATCCTTACTAAATCCTCAAAGCTCTTCTGCACCATACAATGAGACATGTCTGTCTGTGGCTCCAGGTAGTGTTGGACACACAAGCCCTTGCGTATTCCTAGGTCCTAGTATTGGCTTCAGTAGCGAGATAGCCCTAGGTTCAGGTCAGCCAGCTAGAGAACCACGCGCCCCCGCAGCGCGGGTCTCGGGAAGACACGGGTGGAGGGCGAGGCGCAGCGTGGCGCGCGGAGGCCCTCTCCCTCGCCACGCCCACTTCCTGCCCCATCCCGGGCCTTTCCAGGTCCCCTCTCCCCGTGAACCGGATGCTCCGTCAGTTTCCTCCTCCGCGTCTGCGGCCGCAGCACTGCTCCCCGGCGAAGCCGCAGCCACCCACGAGGGCACAGGCAGGGCGCTCCGCACGGCTGGTCTGGCAGGTGTAGGGCGCCGTTAGGAGCTGGGCGCGCACGGTTACCGAGCGTGGAGGAGACACTGCCCTGCGGCGATGGGTGCCAGGGGCGCTCCTTCACGCCGGAGGCAGGCGGGGCGGCGGCTGCGGTACCTGCCCACCGGGAGCTTTCCCTTTCTTCTCCTCCTGCTGCTCCTGTGCATCCAGCTCGGGGGAGGACAGAAGAAAAAGGAGGTAGAACGAATCCCTTGGCCTTTCCCTGCGGGCTAGGGCGTGCTGGGGCGGCCGCGTTGCTAGGCAGCCGGCAGCCGGGCGTGGGCGTTGACGGCCTTGGGGCGGGACCCTAGTGGGCGGGGAACCTTTGGGCCGCACTGTCTCCGAGGTGATGTTAGCCTTGTTCTTTCTCTGAAAACGACGAAGCTTGCTTCGTGCCTGCAGCAGCTCACACCTTTCACACCCCAGGGGCTTTGGATCCTAAATTGGAGAAAGACCTTGGGCCCCTTTGACTCACCATAGTGGCTGGATGTGAAAATACCCTTTAGGAATAGCAAACCTGCAGACCTGTTTGTACCTTAGGCTCATGCTCTGGTCGTTATCCTTTTCAAACGGCAACAGAGCATATTGAGAATATATGTTATTCTGTATTCTTAATTATACATTTTATAGCTGTATTTTTTTATGTCGAACTCAATGTATAATTGTGACAGTAACCTCCTATTAAGTTATGCAAATTTTTTTGGTAAAGATCAGATCACCAGATTTCAATCTCAGTCCTCTGATGACTTTGATGAGGCCAAGGGTTGAAGTAACTGATTCTGTTTATTAGTTGTGGAGTTATTTGTGAATTAAAGTAATCCGTCTTTACCTTGGGTAGGCATTCAATCCAGCAAAATCAGAAGATATTTATTTTGGAAATGTCAGATTTGTGGTTGTACATAATTGTAGTAAGAGTATTTTCTTTCTATAAGTCAAGGTGGTTTTTCCTGGTTAACTTTCACACATGACTCAAAAGCTTACTTGGCTTTAAAATATTACCACAACTTTCTTGATATCTGGGTAGAGTGAAAAAGCGGCCTCACACAGACAGTGACTCCAATTCTCTTTCTCTTGACTCTGCCTGAAACAACTCTCAACTCAATTTTAACGTCTTCCCTTTAGCTTTTTTATTTTAACATGAAAGTGGGCCAAGTTCTGATAAGAGGTTTAGAAAAGAACCATTGTTAAATTAAAACTGTGCTTACAAAAATAAATTAGCCCTGGCTGGTGTAGCTTAGTGGATTGAGCAAAGGCCTCTAAACCAAAGGGTCACTGGTTCAATTCCCAGTCAGGGCACATGCCTGGGGGTTGTTGGCCAGGTCCCCAGTAGGGGGCGTGCCAGAGGCAACCACACATTAACATTTCTCTCCCTCTCTTTCCCTTCCTCTCTCCTAAAAGTAAATGAATAAAATCTTTAAAAAATAAATAAATTAAAGAAATGTCTTCTTAGCATTCGGTATTTATATACCATGTTTCAAGAGTTTCAGATTTCATAGTTTTTCTCAAGAGATTAAAAGTAGTTTTTTATGATGAGGGACACCGTAGAAATTGTTTTATCTCCTAGAAAGGTCATGGTGATCACAGCAGTTTTCAGTTGAAAGAAAAAACTAAAAAGTCTAAAAAGTGTGTATCTGTAAAGCATCTTAGCATCTCCAATTATGACTACTTGTGTGAAAACATTTGTTAATCTAGTATAATTATAAATTACGATAGTATTTCCATTAAAATCTCTTTTAAATGAAAAATTAAGGAGAAAATTTTTGAGGATCAAAAAAGATCGTGTTCCAAATCTGTTTTTCTTTCTTTTAAACAGGAGAGTCTAATACAGGTATACCTCGTTTCATTGTACTTCACAGATGTTACATTTTCAATGAATTGAAGGCAAGAGCCTCCAGACTATCATTATCTCCAAGGTAGCTTGTATTATATGGTGGTTTGCAGAATACACCAGTTTTATTTAAAGAAAAGTGAAGAGCAAAACGACGACTTAAATAGTTGATATTTTGATACTCTGCTCAGTGAACATGCGTATCCCTGAAATCTTGTTCAGTTCTCTATCTAGTACTCAGTTCAAAAACCATGGTCTCTTCCAATAGTAGGGGGAAATAAACATTCTCCATTGGAAATGAGAAGAGGTTGCTCACCAGTGTGGTACTTTTCGAGGGGTGCTCCAGGATTGTTTTGACCATACGGGGCTTTTTCCTTTGCTAACTCTAGAAACATCTGCCCGATATGAGATTTAACACAACTGAACCAAAAAGTATAGCAGTTGGAACTTAATTTACTGTGTCACGTATTACTGACGTAAGTACCAGGTGGACTTCGCATCAATGATGTATTCCTTCATTCTGGGGAAAACAAATCGAAGTCTAAAGTCGAGCCTGGAATCAAGAGTGGACCTTAGTTGCTTTTAAGGACGTAATAATTATGACAGTAATACTTACGACCATAGGTTTTTGAGTCAGACAAATGGTTCAGTTACAACGCAGCCCCTAATTGTATGACATCAGACAAACCGCTTGCCTTCCTTGAATTTTAGTTTCTTTGTTTTAAAATTCAGGTATGATACCTATATCTCAGGGTTGACTTTTTTTCACTGTTCATTCTGCCATCGCAGCGAAACATATCCTCAAGACTTCTCTGACTAGTGCTGCTTTGAGGAGTGCTGTTTAAATATGGTTGGAATGTCTGTAGGATGTAATCCAGAGTTCTTCGTGTGCTATTTAGTGCTTTTCCTGAGTGAACCTTTGTGTGACTCTTTGGTTTTATGTTTCACCACTGGTCCTTGCTTCCCTCCAGTGTCATCTCAGGCAGGTGATCCCATCCTCCCGTTTCGGATGGGGGACTCCTCCTCTATGCTCACATCGCTGGATTTCTGAACTTATTTCTTTAGAGCACTGATGTGAATTTGTGTCTGTTGTCAGTACAGATGAGACCCTGGCAGTGGGTGGCTGAAGTGTTGTTGAGGTTTCCTATCGGGAATGATGGGGATACAGGGTAGGGTGTAAGACTGTTGTGTGGACTTCATCCGATGCTCAGAGTAATGGGAGGTGAAGGGTAGTAACCAAGAGTTCATCAGATGACAGCGTCTAAAAATGGTAGGTAATGTTATATTTTTAAGGTATGACTCATAAAGGAGCAGGATACAGAACTGAGAGGGAGCTAACTTCACTGTCCTTGCTCAGTGAGAGTAAAGGAGATGAATGGTTTCCATTTCAGTAGCTGGAGGGTCTGACAGAGAGATTAAGGGAACAAAACTTATTACAGATATGTAAGATGTAAGGAATTAGTTGGGATGTTCAAAATCTTACTTAGGTAAAAATTTCCTTTGATTTGGTGACAGTATTGTAGTCAAAATGAGAAATTGTAAGGCAGTGAATGGTATAACCTTCATTTTTTTCCCTCACATCTTAACTTTCAAGGTCTCAAACCAATTTTCTGATGTTAGGACATTTTTATGAATCAGATACACTTTTCTATTTTTGCAGTGTTTCATAGATGTGTGGAACATTGCTTCTGTTGAAATCGATCTTGTAGAAATCTGGTAACATTTGATGTTTTACAGATTGCAGCCTCATGTTTAACGATGTCAACATTAGCTAAATTTCTTGTAGACTGTTTCAGCCATGGATAATTTTATGAGGTACACACCAATATGAATTTATAAGAATTTGTAATTTTGTGATGAAAAATACACTGCCACTGTATGATGTGTGAATATAAATGATCAAAGCCATTAACAGGTAGAAGTACGAATCACTTTTTCAGTGAGCTTTCGTACCGAAGAAGGACCTGGAGAAACAGCAGCAGTAGCCACCGGGCAGGAGTCTGTCTTCAGAGATTTTCGGAGATAAAAGCTCTTCCCAGCATTACCGAACTATGGCCCGAGGTTAAATACTGCAGTGATTTACCAACCGCTGTTGTCACATGGATTTCTTCTCAGATATGATCATTAGTAGATTGTGTGTCAAATGCCCTGGTCTAAAAGAGCCCCATTTCTTGGAGAGTGGTATAGCGAGTACCAGAACTGCTTCGCAGTTTGTCCTTCCGTCACTCCCACATGCTCCTCTTGAGACGAGCATTAAGAAATGGCATATGAACACAAAGATGGTTTGTATGTTAGTTTTATTTTTTATTGTTCCTTTTCTCTTTTTCATAAATACCTCATTGGCATTGTCTTTTTTTTTTAATTGAATGTATTGGGGTTGTCTGTTAGTTTTCCATCAATGCATGACAAATTACTACAAATTTAGTGACTTAAAATGATACTCATTGTTTATCTCATAGTGTCTCTAGGTCAGAAGCACGGCATAGCTAGGTTTGCACAAGGCACAAAGTCAGGCGTGGCTGGGCTATATTCTCATTTGGGTCTCTGGGTCCTGTTTGCATCTCGTTCAGGTCATGGGCAGAATTTGGTTTTGAGCAATCTTAGGACCAAGTTTCCTATTTCCTTGCTTGACTTCTTTCTGGGCTCTTTGAGCCACCCTTAGGTCTTTGCCCCTTGGGCCCTTCTGTGGGCAGTTTCAGACACGGTTATTATGTATTTGCTGTCTTCCAGGCCAGCAGGATCCTCTCTCTGAGACTTGACTGGCTTCAAAAATGCTGGTTAGGTTTGGCCCACCCAATAGAATCTCCCTTTTGAGTAAGTCGAAGGTAACTGATTCAGGACTTGACATCTGCAAACCTTTGGCCTATAATTATGGTAACATAACTATGGGCGTGCTGTTCCATCGCATTCACAGTCTCGTCCACACTCGTGGGGAGGGAACTGTACAAGCCTGTGGGTCACTGGGATTATTTCAGAATTCTACCTACTAAAGTGGGTGAGCTTACACTTTTGAGATTTTTATAGGTATTTAAATGGTGGCTTAAACATAAACAGGTGTATAAAGCTCATCGTTCTGAAATTGCATCGTATTGAGAAATAGTTACTCGCAAAAATAAGTAGTTAGAATTGATAAGAATTATTTTAAGCAGTTCACTCATCTTGTGGCCTCAGGATACCAGTGAAGTTTCACCAGTGAAGTTTCAGGATACCAGATAAATAAGTTTGGAAGAGCAATAGATACTTCCATTTCACAGGAGAAACTAACAATTAAACATTAAAAAGGAATTAGGAAGTTTATAGAAATGTTCCCCACCCCCTGCCTGTTATAGGACAAACCACTATTCTTCTATCAGATCTGCATGGTTTCAAA